AGAGAGAAAGACAGGCAAAAAAAAGGCACAGTGCCATCTTGAATAAAATCAGGATATATTCCTAAGGAAGACAGTAAGAACAAGTACTCCCATGTCGTAGTTGCCTTGGGCGTACAGTACAGACACTAATAGGAATGACAGTACAAATTGACCCAAGAGATTCATGTGATTAAATGTATATAAGAATCACTGTGGTGATAATAACAAGGATTTTTTCTGAGTTTTCAGTTGCTCAGTTTTTCTTATGCTGCCAAGTCTTAAGGTGAAATGCCAAGTGCCAGGAATGGAGTGGGAGGATTCAGTAATATTTGGGTCACATCATTGTTATCCTTATCATTACCTCATTATTCTTATTCCTTATATTTTCCTGGTGGTTTTCCTCTTACTCTATTTAGGAAGAAAATATCTCTTACCATTTCCCTACACCTTTTGATATTGTTGGAATTTGGAAACTTCCAAGTTAGCCTTTGCTACTCCTTGAGAATTAGGATAGGTACAGAGGGAGGCCCAAGGAGTGTGGTACAGCAGCTTAAAAGCATGTATGAGATCACATAAGTGGTAGTGTTTTATTAAGTCTTAGTTTTGACTAAATAACTTGGTTTTTAGCCGTTGCATCTTAATACTCCTTACCCTTTAATTTTAGTAAAAGAAGCTCCTTACGGAAGTTCTTTTAATCAGATAACCATCATAGATTGAAGAACTTCAGACATAAGTGCTCTGTGCTTGGCTTTCTTCTACAAGTAACATGTTCTTTTATCTTCGCTTTTAGCTTCTCAGTTTTCTCTGCTATTTCAGTAGAACTGTTTTTCTGTTCCAGTGTAGTGTGCCTATCAGTCTGTGCTCTGAGTTATACTTTCTTTCAACTTAGAAAAGACTGATTCTGTGAATATCCTTCTGTTTTGTTAAGTCCTCTCTTTCACCTCTTCTTTTCAGCATTCAACAAGTTTGGCTTGTAACAGGTGTTACTAATAATAGGGAGAAGCACAGCCACACCTTCATTGGGCAGTTGGTGTTTCAATCATGAAAATTTCTTCTTTCAAGGAGCTGAGTCTCATTAATAGTAAAGATAATTACACTTCTGTAGAAATACTATGATACCCTATTATATAGGAGCAGGATCTCATTCTGCTTAGACGATGGAAGGCAGAGAGAGGAATTGACCAGGCTTCTGTAAGGGGAGATGTTTGGTTGGTGTCTTGAAGGACAAGTAGAAGCTAACCAGGCAAAGTGAGAAGGAAGGGACATTCCAGAAAAGATTATTCCTTAGCTAATTGCTATGTTATTTTTCAAATAATTTGTACCTAGCATGGTATTGGTAGCATTAGAAGTACTAGTGTATGGTCACTATCCTCTATGGGGAGAGGGGAGTTGAGAAAGAGAGATGAGACTAGAAAGTTTAGGCCTGTGATCCAATTATGTATATAAAGCAACATGTAAAATGCCAAATTGAGGTTAGAGAAGGATTAATAAGAGATTATTATAAACTAAAGTAATTGTGAATGAGTTTAGACTTAGCAAAATAGGAGAAAAGGACACATAGAAAATGTTTGGATGTAATGACGTGAAAGCCGTGTTGACAGATTTCTCTTGGAGTATATGCATGAACTTGAGGTGATTAGCAGAGAGGGATGGTGAGAAATCAGGAGTCCAGGAGGCCGACTAGGAAGCTTTTTGGAATGAGGTGAAGTAATGAGGGCCTGACATTTCTTAACCAGATTTCCATAACCAGATTCCTCAGAGCATTCCATGCTGTTTTTAAATTTACTACCATCTGTTTTCATCTACAACTGGGTTTCTGTCATCACCATTCCACTAATAGGTTTCCTTCTAAAGTTACTGGTGATCAGGCCAAATCTAATGGCCGTCTTTTGTATTTCTGCTTAATGGGAAATTACTTAGCCACCAGTGTAAGTACCAATATTGGAGGCACTTTTTGCCTCACAACCAAGAATATATACAATTTAATTACTTGCATTCGAAACTGAAGTTCCATCTTTTCAGTTTTGGAGACATATTTTATAGTGTATTTAAAATTTGCTCTAGCAGAATAAATGAATGAGCACAATAATTCTTACATAGGATGTCTTTGAAGACTAGGGATCCTTTTCTTTCTAGACTATTTAGGTTTTAACTTTCTTTAAGGCTTTGTTAAAGTTCTTTCTTTTTTCCTTTTAAGATGGCAGCCCATGTTATTCACTCCCTTTTCTGAACTTCAGAGCACCCAGAGCTCAGTCTTGTTCTTTGATTCATTTTTTTTCTTGTATTTGTACTTCCCGATTGGACTATCGATTCCTTCCTCTGGTATATAGCGCTGTACACATATAAAATATTAAATTCTTGTTAACTATAACACATTTAAAAGTCTACTTTATGTTTCTTTCATTAAGACTCTCATGAGTTCTCTCATTACTTAAACTGGTGGGCAGAAAGTAAACGTGGTTTTCAGTAGGGGGTATCTGCAATAAGAATTATATTCCAATGTGGGACATACTCGTACTAAGTTTGAAAACATACGTGTCTGGGTGCTTTGCTAATTTGAACAAAATAAAGCTCTAGTGGAGATTAGTGGTGTAATAATAGCGAGTGTTTATTGTGAAAATGTTTAGCCACCATACACATAGTGAATGAAATGTGAATAGTAATAGCAAAACTAGTTTTATTACCACCACCTCAGTAGCTAACATTCATTTAACACTGTTTGCCTGGAAATGTTCTAAGTGCTTTATTTTTATATCTGGTAGGTCTTATTTTAATTAACAACCTCTCTTTACAGATGAAGTATGTAGAAAAGGATTGGGAACCAATAGATCTGATTAAGATCTGTTTTAGTTCTGCTGGGTGCTGTGTGGAATTGGGTGAGCCTTTAACTTTAGTGTATCTTAATTTTTCTTTTTTTTTTTTTTTTGGCACCGGGGATCGAACTTGGGACCTTGTGCTTGCGAGGCAGGCAGTGGAACCACTGAGCTAAATCCCTGGCCCTTAATTTTTCATCTTTGATTGGAAAGATTAGTTATAATCTCTGGGATACTTTCCTTACTCATGATATTGTGTGATCTCTAAATATCCTGTCTCTTTATTCTCAAGTTCTTACAACTGTCTTCATAATTGGATCAGTCATTTCTGGTTATTGTAGGATAGTAGGTTGTTTTTTTTTTAATCTCTGAAGGTGCTATTTGAGGAAATTTACAGCTCAAGCTTCATAAAGAAATGCATATACTAGAGAATGAGAGAATTTGAGAAGATTAGGAAGGCAAAACTGAATCAGAATATCAGAAAAGCAAGATAGTAATGGAACTCTTTACTGGTAATGCAGATAGAATCCTCATAGTTGTCTCTTGATTTATAATTGCTGTTGCTTACCCTAGTTTACCGTATTGTACATTAGTTTTCCCTTCCAGATACTCCTATTGAATATTTTCTCTGTGCATGTGTTATCACACTTAACTTACAAAGTAATATTATAACCATAGATGGTATTACTGTTTTATTTTACAGATGAAAAAGTTGAAGTTAAGAGATAATGAACATTTTCACAGTCCTACAGCTACTAATTGCTGGAAGATGTACTTAAATTCTGATCTCACTGATTCCATAGCCTATCTTCTTTAGTTTTTCAATATTGTCTACTAGAAGTTTATATTCTCCTTAGACTATTGCAGTCTGTTTTTCACTAGGAGCCATTTGGGATGAGGGGCCTGTATAGAATTTTCTTAGCCACAGTTTTCTTTTTTTGGTCGGGGGGAAGCACACACACATTCCTGGGTATTGAACTCAGCCTTCCGCATGCTTGGTAAGCCCATTCCCACTGAGCTACATGCTCAGCCCCAAATGCTTTCTTTTGACAGAGATGTTTTATTTTCTTTTTTCCCCTTTATTTTGATATCATTTACAAATCTTTTCATTCTTCTCTACTGTATTGCCAGGGTCACGATTCCTGCTTCTTTGATCCCAGGTTAGAAGGGCTTACATCTCTGCTGAAAGTTAACAATTCTAGTGTGAACTGTCAAATTTCCTTTATATATTCTCGTCTTCAGTTCTTAAAATAGCTTTTCCCTTTCTCAAATATATGTTAACCTGGCAGATTTTGTATTCTTTTCTTTGAGTGGTAATGGTCTGAATATTTTAGCCTTGAAAATAAATACATTAGAGAATCTAGGTTACTGGACATTTGCCCAAGCCTGTCCTTAATCTTGTAATACTTTTCTTCCTGGCCATTTGTATAATTTAATCTTATATACTTGTAGATCTTTAATTAATTAATTATTTTTTTGCAGTGTCAGGGATCAATTAATTTTTATAAGATAGTTTCTTGACTTTTTTCTTTTAATTACTGCCTAGTACTGCCTGCCCTTCTCTTCACTTGCTCGCCAGTGTCCTTGATTTTGCATTCCTCTTTTCAGTCAATTCCTCTAGCTAGGTTGTCTTTTTGCTATTCTTACCTGTGCTGCTTTACTCTTCCCACCTCCCAGCTGCTCAATACCTTCTTTGCTCCTTGAAAATTCCTGTGTGATTTCTCAATTATCTCTCTGACTTTTTGCCTTCAATTTACTTTAGGTATTTCTGTTTGTATGATTCCCCTAAAATTTGTATGAAAGAAATTGAGATACAGATCTATAGTCCTAAGTTTTTAAGGGCTTGTGGTGGTTTGATGAGTGAAGAACTAGACTGCAGATGGAGTTTTTTGTACCAAAATCTTGTTGCCCTATTAAAGTGGCAGACATTCTTTTTAAGTAAGATTTCCATCAGCACCACTTTATGTATATGTATTATAAACACTTTCAAAACATGTTTGTTATGTTTTGAAGAGAAGCAAATTAAGAAGATTGGAAATGTTGATCCTTTAAATATTTGGTTTGGTTATTAACATACTCAATCTTTTTCCTCCAGATTTAACTCAGACTTTCCCTCACTTTGGAACACCTAGATTTGTGAATATTGGATTATTTTGAGAAGCAGGGGTTCTTTACTTGATACTGACTAAGGAGTCTATTTACCTTCAGGATGACATCTGAACTGGAGAGCAGCCTAACATCTATGGACTGGTTACCACAGCTTACCATGAGAGCAGCCATCCAAAAATCTGATGCGACACAAAATGCACATGGAACAGGAATTTCTAAGAAGAATGCGCTCCTTGACCCAAATACAACTCTGGACCAGGAAGAAGTTCAACAGCACAAAGATGGGAAACCTCCATACAGTTATGCCAGCCTCATTACATTTGCTATTAATAGCTCACCCAAAAAGAAAATGACTTTAAGTGAGATTTACCAGTGGATTTGTGATAACTTCCCATATTATAGAGAGGCTGGCAGTGGTTGGAAGGTAAGGATTTTATTGAAATTATTTTTGTGCAGTAAGCAGTGATAATAGTATTGACTGCTGTTGAAAATAAAGCTTTGAGGAAGCTCAATTGAAGATGAAATTCTGAATGTTCATCATTTTTAGAATGTCACAATGGAAATTTTTTAAAATTTAGGTGACTAACTTATATTTGGTAAACTGTTAGAGCTTTATTTTATTACTGGGTTAACACCAGACAGTTAAAACAGTGAGAATGTCTCCAGTAGCTTACAGTACTTATTGTGCAGATAAGTTGCTAGTGAGTCAAGGTGAAAAACCAATATGATAATTGTAACTAATACTGTTTCAACATTCACATCTTTTTAAAAAATCTTTACTTTGAACAAATTTTAGACTTATTACAGGAGTTACAAAATTAGTACAGGAGATTCTCCTGAACTGGATACTTTATCAGCTTCCTCTAATGTTCAGATTTTACATAACCGCAGTACAATTAAAAACCCAAGAAATTAATATTGGTATACAATTATTGATCAGATACTATTATTTTTCCCTTTCCATGTATACTTTATTAGTACAGTGGTGCCTTGGTTCATGAACTTAATTTGTTCTCTGATTTTGGAAAAGATGGCAACGTTTGTGTGGGAAAGATGGCCACGGTTGTCACCTGATACAAAGTTTGCAAACAAAAACAAAATTTTGCCAACCCTTCTTTTTGCAAACCAAGTTGTTTGCAAACAAAAGCATTTGTGAATCGAGGTACTACTATATATATTAATTTTACAAAACATTGGGTTTGGTTAACATTTTTAATATCCATCCTCCTTAGTAATATGAACTACTGAGTGAATCATGGGCTTTGTTGAGACTTCATCACTTTTGCCACTAATGTTCTTTTATATTCCAGGATCCAATACAGAATCCCATATTGCATTTACTTGTCATGTTTCCTTAGACTCCTCCAAGTTTGTAAAGGTTTCTCAGCAGCCTTTCTTTGGGGAGGGGGGATCTTTAATACCTTGACATTTTTGATAAGTAATTGTTGGATATTTTGGAGAATTTCCCTCAGTATGGTTTTGTCTGATATTTTCTTATGATTAGATTGAGGTACTGTATTTGGAGGAAGGTAATATGCCCTCTGCATGTCAGATGATACGTAATGTCAGTGTGTCTTATTATTGGTAGTGCTAGGTGATGTTTGCCAGGTTTCTCAACTGTAACTTTAAAATGTATCACTTTGGTTTTTGTTGTTTTTTGGGGATCTGGAATGGAACTCAGGGCCTTGTGCTTACCAGGCAGGTGCTGTACCACTAAACTACATCCCCAGGCCCTCCTTCTGTAAATAAGTTGTTTGGAGGAAATACTTTCTTTGAGTGCTTGCAAATATTCTGTTTCTTCTTAAACTTTCGCTGACTTTAGCATTCATTGATAGGTAATAACTGCAGAAATTTTTAATGTTTTCTAGTGATGATTTTTTCTTTCATTCCTTCTATATTAATATTCTTCAGTAAAAGTTCATCTTTTTCTTCGTTCATGTATTTGTAATAGTATGTACTTGGCTGTTTATTTCATCTTTGTCCTGTCACTGTCATTCAAATTGTTGTAGCTTTGACTATTGTGAACTATTACAAGTTGGTCCCATTTTGTTTGTTTGGTGCTTTCTTCTTTTTTTGGCACCAAAAGATGTTCCAGGATCACCTTTGTACCGTCCCTGTCCCAGCCCTGAAATCAATCACTTCTTTAAGAAGCCTGTTAGTATACTATCATATTAGTGAACCAGCTCATTTATGTTATACAACAAATAATACAACTTACTTTGTTTTTTCTTTGTACATGTTTTATTCATTTTCTTATGTAGAAATTACCCAGTTGTCTGCTATGTGATGTATATGTGTGCATGCATATTCATGGGGAGGATGGGATCTGAAGGATTTTAGGTGTACGTATTCCAGATGATATTCTTATTAACTCTTAAGCTTTCCTATTTCAATATCTTTGTCTTTTCATTTGATTACATTTATGAAAGACATTTGCTGATTAATCATGCACCTATGATGTGCTGTGCACTGTGGCAGCTAATCAAGTGTCTGAAGGGAAGGGATTGTATCACGCTAAACCTTTTATGTATCTCTTTGTTTTTGCCATGCCCCAGCGCACAGTGCTTTCTTTATAGTAAGCTTCAGTAAATATGGTTGGAATTACTTTATGATTACTAGTTTCAACCAACCTATCTGCTTTTGTTTTTTGCTACTTTCCTCTTATATACACTCATTTTTCATCTGTCCATCCCAGCTTACTAGCTACCTTGGTAAATAAACACTTTGATTTTTTGCTTTTGTTGTCCTCTTATTTCTCCTTGAACTTTCTTTTACCCTTTGTCCAGTTAGCGTTACTACTTTAGCTCATATGTTGACTATATATCTCTTTTTGTGTTTCCGTGTACCTTATTAAAACAGTATCGTAAAACTTAAAAAGAGGTTTTTTTCGCCAGAGATCTTGTTTTAGTAGTTTTTGTTTCTGTACATAAATACTCAAATGGTAGTTGCATTTTCAGTTTTCTGTGTACCAGGAACTATTCTGAGGGCTTTGTATCATTGTCTTAAGCCACACAGCAGTCTTATTAAGTATCTACTAATACTTAATATTCTATTAATACTTTTTAATAGTTCTTTCTTTCCTTCCTTCCTTCTTTTCTTTCTTTCTTTCCTTTCTTTCCTTCTTGGAATTGAACTCAGGACCTTGCATTTGCCAAACAGGCACGATGCCACTGACCTAAATCCCCAGCCCAGTTGTTTATATGTGTGTGTGTGTGTGTGTTGAACTCAGGACCTTGCATTTGCCAAACAGGCACGATGCCACTGACCTAAATCCCCAGCCCAGTTGTTTATATGTGTGTGTGTGTGTGTGTGTGTGTGTG